ATTTAGACTGGATATGATGAAAAAGTTTGTTACACAGAGGGTGCTGAGGCACTGGCAGAGTTTGCCCAGAGAGAGGTGATGGGTTCTCCATTCCTGGAGACGGTCAAGGTCAGGCTGGATGAGCACCTGATGGAGCTGTGGTTGTCCCTGTTCACTGCAGAGGAGTTGGACCAGATGTCCTTTAAAGATCCCTTCCAACTCAAACTATTCTATGATTCTATGATCTTGGGAACCACCTGCAGACATGGGACAAAACCTATAGGTAAGTTTCATTGGTAACAACCTTCCTTAGGTGTGCTGAGCTGGAAAAACCTCAGACCTTTGCTCCCTTTTGCTCCCACCTTGCAGTCCATTTGGGGTGTGACTGATTTGATTGTGTTTCCTGAAATCAGCAGTGCCCTGTGAGTAAAGTATGATTTGTAGTACAGATATTTGCATGCCAAGGTGCCACTCCGCACTCATCTAGTCTTGTTGGCATGGATCTGCATGACTAATCTCTGCTGCCTTTTCCCATTTAACTATGAACTTATGGCAGAGCTATGCTCACCAGTTCTCTCACTATGGCAGAGTATCTCTGCCACATTTACCATCTACTTCTACTGTGTGCAGCTGGAGCAGCACTGTGATGATGGGAGTCACCATCCAGAATGACAGACAATTCTGTGGGACTGATACCTTCTAGCAGAGCAGAAGAAAAGATAAAAATCACAAACTTTGATTCCAGGTCAGACTGTGAAATTATTCTACTCCTTCTCAACTGGCTCTTTTTTCTCATCTTAGCATCTTAGAATTGCTAAAAACTTTTCAGAAGCTAGACAAAGAATCCTAAAGCAACATCAGATGTGTTCTGTTCAGTCTAATGTGTTTAACCAGCTAGTTGTGTAGTGGTATCTCATCTCTATGGTCTGATTTTTGGGTGGTGCTGTGTGGAGACAAGGAATTGATGACCCTCATGGGTCCCTTCCATCCCTTCTGTGATTCTATGATATGCCTGCAAACTCAGCACTGAGAAGGAGGAGCTAAGAGCTGAAATTTGTGATCTCTCCTTATCCTTTAACTACAGAGAGAGCTAGGTATTGTATTTATCAAATCCAAATGTTCCCATGTCCTAAAAGCACCTCACACGTGGTCCATAGCAGTCAGTAGTGGGAAACAGAGTTCTTTGCCTTGTTTTTGACAGAGCAGCAAAACACATCACAGTGGTTTGTTTTGGCTTTGCAGCTTACAAACACTGACCCACTGTCAAGGTAAACTGACATCACAGAGATGTCTGAAATGTTTTAAGGAATGAATGGTTGAAAAATAATGTGATGGAGCTAAAAGATGGATCAGACAAGATTGACAGGTCTCTTCCAGCCTTATTTTTGATAGTAAAGACACGTATTGTCTTCTTTAAATCCACTCTAGACAATTTTCTATTCAGTTCCTAGGATCTTAGGTCTTGCGTCTACTTAGGTCTTAGGTCTAGTTAGGTCCTAGCATCCTAGGTATGACAGTGCATCAGGATTTTATCCAGAAATTCATCTTTCTCTCTCCTAAAGGATGCTGAGCATCACAGAATCAGGAGACTTTCAGTTGGTGTTGCAACAACTTGGAAGAAAAGCTGGAAGAGTCCAGTTCCACCATGCTTCTCAGTGCTAAGGGGACAATTTATGTCTGAATTCTAGAAAGATACCCCCAGGAAGAAATTGCTTTTAGGAAGCTTTCCTGTGATGCTGAACCAAATTCTAGACTCTGTGGCTGTGAGAAACAAGGCTAGGAAGAGTCAGGATGTTGTTTTTGTCTCCATGTGATTCTGACTTGATTAGTCCAAATGGGTCCAGGTCTCTGGGGTGAGGTGGTTCAGTTTGTTTTCACACAGAGATAGTGTCTAATGCCTCTGCTAAAGGGAAAATCCTTTGTTGGAGAAAATACTTTGAGTATTCTTCAGATCTACACAAAAGCGAAAGCCTTGTAGAAACCAATGGGAAATCTGTGCTGAGATTTTTTCGGCCATCTGACCTCCAGCCTCTCAATGGCTTCTTGCCTCAATGAGAATAACTTATGGGGCAGTTGTTTTGTTTTGTTTTGTTTTTTATTTTCCCTGTTGGTTTGTAAGCTGTTTAGAGTCCATACCATTTTTCAGGCTGAGGAGCACCCCTTGATCTCAGTGTCCTAAGGCTGTGTGGCAGCAATGAAGTTTTAGGGGATGCTCTATTCCTGAATATCTGTTGGGAAAGAGCAATTTGAATGCCAGAGTGCCAACCACCAGTTTAAAAATAGAGGCACAGGACGTATAGAAAGCAGTTCATGACCCTGCTGGGAGGCTTCCAACACTGGGCAGGTTTACTGAAATTGCAGGGAACGGTCTGATTTTTTAACTAGTTTTTATTGGCGTAGATGCAACAAGTTATATTTAAAAAGAAGGAAAAAAAAAAAAAAGAAAGAAAGAAAGAGAAAAAAGAAGGAGGGAGGAAGGAGGAGAAAAAATAAGAAGAGAGATGTGGACCTTACTGACATGATCTAGGTGGAATCTGTCGGTCACACGACTGCACACCAGCCCTGCTGTGGCCTTGGGTGCTGAGGACAGGCTGTGCTGAGGCTGGCTGCCAGCCCTCCTGGTGGAAATGTGTATTTACCGGAGGTGGGGATAGCCAAGTCCCCAGGCTGTGAAATGCCTGCCAGGCACTGTGATTCCCCATGGTCCCATGCTTCCAAATTCCTCCGCGTTGGTGGCAATCATCACATCCAAGAAGGCCACGCTCATCTCACCAACTCTCCTGTCAAATCTATTTGGGGCTCTGCTCCTCCTAATCACCTAGCTGGGAAAACCTTGCCTCCCAGGTTCTATGTTGCGTCTGTTTCGCACCATTGCCTCCTCTCATCTGTCAGAGACAAGCTCTGATGTCACAGGCTGGTTCATTTGCCCTAACACAGGCATCCAGGAACTCCTGTGATGCCCTGGGATACCACTGTATGGAGCAGATCATCTGGTGTCTGCTTTAGGCTGATGTGGATCACTCACCAGTGATCCACTGGGTTTCCATTGGTTATAATAGGAGCTTAGGTGTCTCATGCAAGGGCAAGCATCTATCTTTGAACATTCAAGCTGGATATTAGGAAAAATTTCTTCTCTGAAAGAGTGACACAGGCTGCTCAGGGTAGTAGTGGAGTCACCATATGTGGAGGTGTTTCCAGAACCATGGAGATGTGGCACTGAGGGACATGGCCAGTGGGCATGGTGGGATGGGTTGCAGTTGGTGATTCTAGAGGTCTTTTCCAACTTTGAGGATTCCATGATCTGAGTACCTGAGTATCTGCAAGCTAAACACTACTTCAACTTACAGAAAAGTTCTCTTACCATGGCATCTCTGCAGACACTACAATCATCCCTGAGACCTTTCCCATTTCATAAGGCGGGGGGAACTCAGCTCTACATTTTATTTTCCTGCAAAAACAGTGGGCTACTCCATCGCTCTGCTGTACCTTTTTTCTGACACACTTTTCTTCATGAGAAGACTGCTCTGATCATCTAAGGACTCAACCAGTCGTGCATTTCTGTCAGAGCAATTCTGTGTTAGCTGCTCTGCTCTGCACCAGAGCTGGCTGCATCCTCTGTGACCTGCACTTGGCCCATGACTATTGCTACTGCCAGGCCAGCAAGAAGTTCATGAGATATTTGTCATTTCTTTCCATTCCTTTCAACGTTTGGTGGGATTTCCAGCAGCATGTGGCTCCAAATGTGGAAAAAGTTGCAGTGAGGAGCTGACTTGTTTAGACGAAATGTTCTGCATCCTCTTGAGTCACTTGCAATTTCCTTGACTTCCTTGCATTATAAACCTGAACAAGAATTTAAAATTAAAAATAATTAAAAAAAAAAAAGAGAAAGAGAAAGAAAAATTAAAAAGAAATGTTTCTCATCTTGAGCCAGAAGGAGAGAGGGAAGAAACTCCCTGGTGGGTGTCAGATTTTTTGACTGCAAAATTAACAACAAATGAGTGTGTTTATTTCAGAGTGCATCTCATCCTCCTCATCCTTATTGTGACTTCTACTTGGAAAGTCTCTTAGACAGGGACTTTTGCAAGGACACCTGGTAGCACTCAGTACTTGGGGAGCTCTCCTTTCATTTGGGGAAGGCAAGCATTGAGACTCATCTTTTGACTCAGGAGTATCATAGAATGACAGAATGGCCTGGGTTGAAAAAGACCACAATGATCATCCAGTTCCAACCCCCTGCTGTGTGCAGGGTCACCAACCAGCAGACCAGGCTGCCCAGAGCCACATCCAGCCTGGCCTTGAATACCTGCAGGGATGGGGCATCCACAGCCTCCTTGGGCAACCTGTAACAGTGCCTCTGGGTGAAAAACTTCTTCCTAATGTCTAATCCAAACCTCCCCGTCTCAGTTTAAAACTATCCCTCCTTATCCTATCACTATCCACTCTCATAAACAGCCATTCCCTCTCCTGTTTATATGCTCTACTAAGTGTAAACTACTAAGCATCCTTCTACAGGGGGTCTTTCCCATTGAGAAAAGAGGAATAGTAATAGAGATCTGCTCCCATTAGACTGGGAGCTTAGTTTCAAGGCATCCACATCTTTGGGAAATGGAGGCAAATGCATTACGTTCCTGCTTTCGCTGGTGGCTGACTGGAGGTAGTCAGTAATTCCACCTGAGCCTTAGTTTTCTCACCTGTAAATTGGAGACACAAAGCCATCTGGCTTTTTGCTGCTGCAGATGCTGGTGGTTATGGATTTGATAATGAGAGCAGAAAGAGCAGAGAAGTTCTTGCTGTGTAAGTAGAAGAAGTTTCTTAACAGTACCTTAAAATAGAGCCCATAATGTCCTTTTTATGCCACTTCCTGATAAGGAATTCTGATGTTGTTTGATACAGTTCTGGGAACCATACTTAGGCAAAAAGAACAGGGAAAGGTGGCAAGTCTCCCTTCCCCACTTTTGAATTCAGCTTTGTTCTGATGAGTCACTGGAGTGAGTCACAGTAAATGGTTCAGTTGTAAGGACCATGGTGTTTTCTCCCCATCCCTGGGACTCGTGCCATGAGCTCCTTGGGGCTTCTTGGACTTGGTTTCATTTTTACTTGGAGGAGGAAATGGTGTCTCCAAATTCTACCCATTTTCAGTATTGTGTGGGTTGTCTGCTGGTAGAGAAAGGAATGTTGATATAAAATGATTGTCAAGATGATTCCTTTCTTTTTTTTTTTTTTCAAATACCTTTCACCACAGGTCACCCACATCACATACCGTGTTCTAATATGGACTGAACTGCTTGGTTTCCTTTTTAAGAAAACCTGGGTGTAGAAAGAAAAAGAGTTTACTCATGGGCTAACATGCTCTGGATAGCCTGAATGCAGCCATGGTTGTAGCACTTCCATGCAGAAGAGGATGAAGAACTAGAGTTACTTTAGTATGGCCTTCCTTAATTAAAAGTGCAAGAGGAGCTAATCCTAAAATAATATGTTCCAGAAATGAAGGGAAAAGTGTTTCCTCCTTCAGATGGGAGAGACAAAGATGCTGAGTATTACTTGTCCCTTTAGGAACAAAGCTATGGGACAAGAAAAAAGAATGATTGTAAAGCGTACGCACATGTAAGATTATGGTGGAGACCAGGCAGCAGTTTTCCAGTAGAGGTAGGATAGAAATGACTGGAGGTTTTAAAGAAACATGGGGATATGGCACACGGAAACATGGTTTAGTGGGCATGGTGGGGATGGGTTGATATTTGGACTTGGTGATCTTAGAGGTCTTTTCCAACACTTAGGATTCTATGGCTACAGTTTTCTTGAGATGGAGCAAGATGACTTTTAAAAGGAATGCCCTGCACAAAGGGCCTCTCTAGCCTGGTGAACCTGTTAATAGCATCATACAAAGCCACTGGACTCTAAGGGTTGATTTTAGTTTGTTGCGTTGAAGGAAGATGAATTCAACCTGGAATAGGTGCAAAGGGCAACAAGGACCATCAGAGGAAGGGTGTGCCCTGTTTAGGAGACTCAAAGTCTTTGACGTGTTTAGCTCAGCAAAATGCAAGATTGGAGCAGTTAAGATCATACCCTATAAATAAAATGGGAGTTAAAGAGTAGAGAGGGAAAAAAGCTATTTAAACCTAAGACATCATTGGCATCGGAACAGATGGGGATAAACTGGTCATGAATAAATTTAGGTTGGAAAGTGGAAGATGATTTTTAACGACTGGAGCAAGTCTTCCAGAGGGAGCAAATAAATGAATTCCTGGAACCTGCTAAGTTTATGAGGTGGTGACTGCAATGGCAGTGAACATGAAGACTGCAGACTTCAAAATCACCACTCTGGAATGAATGGTTCCCCTAGCCCTGTAGACTATTGTCTTTGGGTTTTCTTCCTTCTACCTGGGTCTGTTCCACTTTGCTTGCATTTTGAGGAGTTCCCATCAATACTATAAGCAAACAGTGCACTTTTTGTTTAGAGACCTGAGTTGATAGAAAGCCATGGGAATATGGAAACAACACCCCTGTTCCTGAAAAAGAGATAGTTTTCCTGTTCCATTAGGTCATGGTGTGCCTGCATGCACAGACATCACATGCACAAAGTGGTTACTTGTCTTTCTCCTGTGAGAGCTGGCAGACGTAGGTCTTAAATCCCCAAGGCAGGTGCCTGACCTTAACTATAGTTTTGATCTTTGAATTTTAAATTTTATAAAATTTAAAGTGATTTGGCAATAACATTGTACAAGTGTATGTAGAAGATGATTTGGTTTGACAGAAGAATTGATCACTTTGGTTTGCACAGACAGCCTGAAGCTGAATTAAACCGATATCTCAGTAAAACTGTGAATTGAGATCATCACCCCTCGTTCCAGCATCTTTGTGAAATAAACCTCACTCATTCCCTTATGATGCAAGTAACTACAAGGTGTGTGAAGACTACAGGATCAGGAGTGCTGGCTGCATACCACAATGCAACTTAGTGGATAGAACAGAGCAATACTCCTGACTTGATTTCCTTTGTCAAGTTGATTGGTCAGCCTAGCCAGCTGTGTAAGACCTGGAAAACAAGATGGAAAGCAAGGAAAGGCTGCGTTTCCAGAAGGATTCATGGCACCTGAACTTGTATATCTAATGAGGAGAGTGTCTCCCACCAATAGAGTTTATAACACCTACTCTCACAAATGGACACTAAGTGGCCCATCTCTCCCAGGCATTGGCAAAAGAAGTTCTAAAATAACCGAGCTATGGATTTGATTTCCTTCAAGGTCAAGAAAAGACTTGCATCCACATCTTCTATTTATTGTGTATAATGAGATCAAGACTATAATGCAAAATGGATGTGATGATTCTTCTTTCATTACACAGAGAATATAAGTTTACAATTTCTGTTTAATTCCTGTTTTGCTCCAATGATTGTCCATGCTTCAGGCACACTTGATGATTCCCAGGCTCCCTTGTAGCTGTTTCCCTAAAAGAAGAAATTTAGTTACAGTCAGCAGGGTAATTCACTCATGAGTCCACGCCAGACAGTGCAGATGCACACTGCACTGAGTTTACTTACTGTCCCAGGGCAATCCTCCAACACTATCCATCTGGACTGCCGCAGCCTGCCTCCTACTTGTCAGTAAGTTCTGTAAGTTTATACCTTGTTTCAGGATGCTTAATACCCACATCACTGCAGAGCCATCATTTGGTAGGGTGTAACGTAACCTCATCGTTATTGTGGATGCTCTGAACTGAGCTGACCCTCTCCCTCCAGGGAAACCACAAGTTATGAGTCAAGGTTACTAGGTTCCAGCAAAGTCCCGGACCTGGGTCTCTGTGGTGGGAGTGCTGTCCATCCACCCTGAGCATTGCCTGTACCACATGGTCCAGGGATGAGTCTTCTTCCCCTCCTGAAATCCACAAGGCTCAACCCAAAGCAGGAGCTTCACTGTCAGAGCCGGTCATCACTGTACTGTTAGAATCACCACTGGGCATTGTGAGACATCATTTCTGTTGGCAAATCTTGTCATTTAGCCAGAGTTGCTCAACAACCTTTTAGCAAGCCACATTAAGCTGTGGCTTAAATCCAAGGTATCCATGTCCCAAACCAGTATTCAAAGGGCTGGACTAGATTTCCTTTTGCAACTAGTTGTTCACTGGATATTTTGGAGTTGGGCCAGTGAACATTACCCTTGTCATGCAAGATGAAACAGGTGAAGCAATTTCATGGGCTAGTGGTTGGACTTGAAGATTGTAGTGATCTTTCTCAACCTTAACCATGATCTTCAGGGAGAGAAAGTGGCCAGAAAATCACAAAGAAGCTGTTCCTGGAGCAAAGTGTCTGATCCAAAGAGGGGGTCAAGCCAGAAGTGCTGTGCACAAGGTGCTCAGAGAACCACTATGATCATGTTAAAGCAGATAAGCCGTGGAAGCAAATAGCCACAAACTGACAGTGACATTCCCTCAGCATTCCCCTTGATAGGACAAGGGGGAGTGGCTTTAGACTTAGACAGGGGAGGTTTAGGTTGGATATTAGGAGGAAGTTTATCACACAGAGGGTGGTGAGGCACTGGAACAGGTTGCCCAAGGAGGCTGTGGATGCCCCATCCCTGCAGGCATTCAAGGCCAGGCTGGATGTGGCTCTGGGCAGCCTGGTCTGCTGGTTGGCGACCCTGCACACAGCAGGGGGGTTGAAACCAGATGCTCATTGTGGACCTTTTCAACCCAGACCATTCTATGATTCCATGATTCTATGAAGTTTTGTTTTTCCTAGATTCAGGTTATTGCAAGTACCCTGAGCTGCACCATATTTCTTGCCTGTGATAGATCAAGAGGCTCAAACACACCCTGCACTATGTGAGGAATCCTAATCCTAAGGGAGATAGCTCCCAGGATGTGCTCTCTGAAGCTGTTCTTTGAGTTATGTGATTGCACAGGTAGGGAATGCTTCCTAGTTATCACTCAGTCATAGAATATTGCACACTGAAAGGGAAGGGGCCCAAAAGGATGGTTAAGTCTTTGGCTGGTATTTTCTTTCCTTGATATCGTGCCTCTCTTTCCATGCCCTCAGACCATGCTCCTTTGCTGGTGTTTAAAGCTCTCAAATTCTTGAGGATAATGAGCATATCCCCATCTCTGCCATCCGATCCTCTCCTTAGGTCCGCTCAGGGCCTCTCCAATCAAGGGCCATCCTGGTAGTGTTGTGATGTCTCCTAAGAACCCAATCCCTCAGTAAACAAAGAACAAATGAGGTAATTAGGAAAATGTAAACAGGACGAGGGAGGCCCTTTCTCCCCTTATGAGAGCAGGACTTGGAGAAATTAGCACAAGTTTAGATTTACATTGTATAGAGACACAGATACTCACGATCCCCATGTAAAGCTAAATTCCTCATCTAATTTCATTACAGAATAATTCCTTCTGTCAGGAATACAAGCCTGCCACCAAACTGCTCCTGGAATACATCAAGCATCATCTGATGACAGTAACTGGGATGGCAGCACAGCCTCTCTTCGATCCACCTTGGATAAACTTCCTAATTTAAAACACATATCCAAAGGAGATAGGCATCCAGAGCCTCAGCACACATTGTGCAGTAACATTTCTTGCTTCATATTCTCAAATTATGCCACATATCCAGAATAAGTTCACTTTTTCTTCGCTTCATTTCACAGAATCATAGAATCAGCTGAGGTTGGAAATGTTCTCTAAGATCACTGAGTCCAACTATGAACCCATTCCCAACATGGCCACTGAGCCACATCCCTCAGGTTTCAGACACTAAGGCTAAATTGATGCTGACAAATTAAATGTAGCTGGGACCATTCCCTGGTCTGAATCCATTACTGTAGAATGATCATATCTGTGTGATTATATTCTCTCACTTTCTAAGGCAGGGTGGCTGACTAATGGGCATGGCCCCCCGTCTGTGCTAGCTTCCAAAACATGCCCAGAAACAGCCTATGGACAAGGTGGTTAGCTTTGGTTTGAAGGTGATTGGAGACAGCTTGGACAACAGGAAAGTCCCAGCAATCCAGTTCTTTTACCCTGGGTTTGCCTAGTTTGCAGTAATAGATTCAGAATAACAGGTACAGAAAACTGAGGCTTAATCTTCTCAATGAAGAAAACATGCGTGAAAGGGAGTTTGGGGGTATTTTGGTTTCATGCAATTCTAATATTTGAGCCCTGGTCTTGAAAATGTGATCTTGATCTGCTTTCTGCTCTAAAAATGCCAACTTAAACACCAAACTTAGGATTTTTTCCTCAAGAATTTACTTTAAAAGACCAAAACGAGGAACAAGTTCTCTCTTTCCAGATAGAGCTTTTCTCTGAAGTCTGCCTCACAACAAACTTGAGCAAAACGATCTTTCTTCATCATGAAACAAAACAAAACAAAACATCTTTCACCAGCTGGCCAAAATACCTTGCCCTGGTGAGCATGAGTAACATTGCCATCTAGTGACTCCTCCCATAACAGTTAATTAACCATCCTCTGGATTCACCCAAATTCAGGAAAGCATTATCAACGGGAGCTGCAAGTAGGGATTGGAGACAAAGAAATGTTGAGGTCAAGATTTTCTAATACGTCCTGACTGCAGCAAGAGGGGAGCACAGCATTCATCCTTGAAGTCAATGAGGTGTATGCCCAGGCTTTCTGAAATCAATCTATTTTGGTAGCAGAATAAGAACTTAATTATGACCCTCAGGTAATCCTGGCTGATCATAGGGCTGACGTTTCTCTCACCTTTGAAGTCAAGGTCAAAGTCTCCTACCTCTACTTTACAAGCCAATACCTTCTCAGAAGGTTTGGACTGCACAAACATCCCCAAGGCACTAAGATGTTACCAAGGATGTTCACCCAGCTGAACTGCAAGACATGCACTGGAAAGGATCTCAGAGAGATGCTGACATCTCTAAGGTTTACACTTTCAGTTCAATGCAGGTATTGTCAGCTCTATTCCTCTCCTCTGCTCCTTTTGGAATCATCCTAGCTCTGATCCCTCCAGACTTCCCCAACCACAGCAACTGTCTCCTATTTTTCAGCCAAAAGGAGCTGAGATAATAAAAGGACACAAATTAACAGAAATAGCTTGAGCAGAATTGGTAGTACTTGCTGAGTGTGACATTCCTGAAGTCACAGTATCTGAATGGTCACACATTGTTTCCATCCCTTCCCATTTTTTCCAGTACAGGTAGTTCACATTCAGACTATTTGTGCTTGATGCTCCATATCTGATTGAAGTTGGCCACCCTCATCTTGGTTGCACCTCGTGCCAAGAATGTAACTTAGACTTGGGTTATCTTCGGACAGTCCTTGAAACCTAATTATTATTAGTAAACAGAACAATCTGCTTGCAGTTCTGCTCTGTATTTGATTGCTGCCCTGAGAATAACCCTGCATGCAATAGCAGCATTCATGCAGGGACTTCAAATATGTTAGAAAAAAACAAGGATTCAGTCTCTAGATCCTGACAGAGGTGGTAGGAATCTGTCCTGCTCATTTACAGATACATGCTTTTTGGGATGGTAATGTTCTGCTCACTACTTCTCAGTGCTTAACTGAGTTGTTACTGCTGTGCTGTTCAGCACAAGAAAAGTATGAGTGACCCAGACAAGCTCTCAGAGTCTGTATTCAAACCATTTACTTGGGGTGGGTAGCCTAGTGCCATGAGCACATCTCATACTTGATGGTACAGGGAGATTTCTCCAGTGTTCTGATGTTCTGTACTGGCCATTGACAGTTTGGGCATGTGTCTTTTCTTTTCTTTTCTTTTCTTTTCTTTTCTTTTCTTTTCTTTTCTTTTCTTTTCTTTTCTTTTCTTTTCTTTTCTTTTCTTTTCTTTTCTTTTCTTTTCTTTTCTTTTCTTTTCTTTTCTTTTCTTTTCTTTTCTTTTCTTTTCTTTTCTTTTCTTTTCTTTTCTTTTCTTTTCTTTTCTTTCCATATATATACATATATATTACTTTCTCCCTGTCTAAATGTCAGCATATTGACTTAAAAATACCTTGTAGAAGAGTGTCTGGTGTGGAGTGAGAATGTGGATGGGAGTATCAGGAAGAAAAATCTAAAATTTCTGTGTACTGTCTGATATTTGAGTGATGAGAGGAGGAAGCTCTTCTTGCCACTATTTAGAGAAAGCCAGGCAGACAAACCAAAGGAAAGTTAATATCTGTCTATTACGGTAACCTAGGATCAAAGGATAATTCCGATTGGCATGGATGTCAGAAATACAGCAGCTTTTCCAGATAGATGTGTATCGTGGTGGATAGGCAAATGTGAAAAAAAGGAGAAAGAGAAGTTATCTGGTGAAAAACATGGTTATGAGACCCTTGAAAACATTTGTGCTTTAGCTACAGGGCTGCTGAAAGGGTTGCCAACTGGCATTTCACCCAGCTGCTTTCTGATACGTTCCAATGACTTGCAGACCTCCCTACCTCTTCTCTGGTCCCTGGATGGTTCTCTGGGTTGCTAAGATCCTACATGGC